TTATTATTATTATTATTATTATTATTTATGTACAGTACAATAGATGTGATATATCTTTAAAAGCATTTCCTGTATGTATGAAAAGTAATAAAATCCTTTCTGTCCTCAAATGTACAGCTGTTGGATCAGTTCTAAAACATCTCTGCTTTACATTATCCATGGTCCCATCTGCGCTGCTCTGTTGGTAAGCTCCTAATTAGGGTTCTCAAAACACTTTCTGGACTCAGTACATTGTTGGATTGTGCATTGTGTGCATAGCTTTGAAAGAAGAACACATTTATTGTTGCAGTGTACCCTACAAAAAGAGTTAATTGATAAGCAATTGAATAATACACCTGTCTACTTGTTTTATTTATTCTTCACACAATTCATTTAAAATACCTTTTTCTGTTTATTTATTCTGTTAGCAACACCACAGTCCTGAAAAGATTCATCCACATTTTTCTGAAACATTTGCTATGTTACCTATAGTATGTTTTCTCATAAAGCACCCAACATTTACAAAGATGAGACTCTCTTTAGAGATGTAACCCATTGCTTTACATAGCACATGAATTAGCTATTAATGATCTATATTTTGCTCTTCTTATTTTAGGTAAACCTGTTTTTCCTGCTAAATATTGTGCGCGTTCTCATCACAAAGTTGAAAGTCACGCACCAAGTGGAATCCAGTCTGTATATGAAAGCTGTTAGAGCTACTCTTATTTTGATCCCACTTCTGGGAATTGAGCATGTAGTGTTTCCATATAAACCAGAGGGCCAGGTAGCAGCAGAAATCTTTGACTATATGATGAATATTCTAACACATTATCAGGTAAAGAATACTGTATTGTTCTTTATTTAATATTGTTTTTAATGTTATTTTTATCTTATAATGTTCTTCAGAAAAGAATAGTCTAGATTGCACAAGGTTTCTCTTAAATAGAAAGGCCAGCAAAACCTAAAAAAAATGAGTGCTGCATCGAAAGGTTATTGAGGTGTGTGTGAAGAGCTATGAAACTGGAAGAAAATGAACACTTCTTTCCTGCAGTGTACAAAGTGAAATTCTAGATGTGCTGTGGATTGTATTCCTGAGGAAGTGCTGAATCAGCTAAATACCTTAGATAGCAGAAGTACTTATTTGTTTTCTGATTCATTGCAGCCCTAAAGAAATAACTGCATGATACTAATTACCGCAATGTACATGAATACACGTGGAATTAGCAATCTTCAGTGACATTTGTTCTTGTATGATTTCTTTCTAGGGGCTGCTGGTGGCCACCATATTCTGTTTTTTCAATGGCGAGGTAAGATTATTATATGAAAAGATCATGAAAAACCATTAAATAAAACATGGGTGCTATTTCTGGCAAAATGTGGTTCTTATACTGTATGTCTATAAAATCATTCATGAAATAAAAGAACACTAATCTTTTATCTGTATCCTTTCATAAGAGCCTTTATCCTAAACATAAAAATAAAGATTGTTTGTGGGGGCTAGCTTGTTAATTTAAAAGAAAGATTAAAAATATGCTGTAGGTAGCTTCAGCAAGTGCTGGCAGATTGCCACGTTGTTGTATTGCAGAATCCTGGCTAAATAGTCCTTTGTGTTTTAGGTTGTTTTGCTATTTTGCAAACACTGAGCACAAACATGATCTGAACACAGACATTCTTTAAAAGACAGATTACACAGGAGAGACGATTTGGCACATCATCTAGTTTATTTGGCTGCTAGTAGCTAATTAATCTGAGGGTTTCATCCAAAATATTATTCAAGAAGCCATGCTAGTGTACCTGCTTCATCAACATGGCTGGATAGCTTAGTCCAAACGCTTACGACACTCTTTTTAATTTAGAAATGTCAAATAGTTTTTGTTATACCCATCTTATTTTTAATAGCCAGCTGTTTTTCATGTCTCACAGCTACCAGTCCTGCAACCACACACAAGGGAGAGTGTGGAAGTGCAGGCACACTCCTACAACCCTCCTACCTTAGATTCCATTTGTTTTCTAATACATCACAGGCAGAACAGCCCATGTACAGTACTAGATGAGATTGAAGGAGACACGTGTCACTCACTTAGCAGCACTACAAGCCTACAAGCACTGGGGACTGAGGGACTGAGGGTGACTAATCCCACCCTCAGTGACACTCAAGTCTTTTCATTCTGTGAAGCACTTTTAGAAGCCACCTTTAAAGGTGCTATATAAAATAAAGTTTATTATTATTATTATTATTAAGTCAATTGGAAAGTAACATGACTCAGGCTTGATCCCGTGATCATTGAGCTTATCCGGTGCATCCTGTGCACTTATAAATTATCACCTGTTCTCAGTTTTTAATGATTTTTTCCTTTTACAAGTGCGTTCTTTGGTTTGTGTTTTGTAGTGATTCATAGGATGTCTGTTGACTTTGTGCCTGAAATATTCAATGCCTGTATATTTGAATCAGAAACTCTAGTCTTCCCTGTTTAAGACTATAACGATTCTGTTCTTTTGCCCTTTTAGTGCAGGCCATGCCTTTAATCCCAGGAATGTTTCTGGCCATTCTTCTCTGGATGCATTGAGCAAAATTGTAAACAGTTTTCTAGATACAACTTTATCGCATTGTACAATTTTATCTTTACATTCCTGAACTTAAATTCTGCATTTTTAACTGAATTATCTTACATTCTGTTTGCCTTTTTATTGCTTTCCCACAATGTGCTGGGTACATATTGTACAGTAGTTCTGAAAAATCATAAACAGATTATTAGCAGTGTTCAAAGGAGCACTTCAAGGAGATGGTAGCATCTGCCAGGGGACCTGAGGTATTTCTTAGCAATATACTGTAGGTGATGTCCATTGGCAGCAAAGGAAATATATTGTACAACTCTAAGGCATCTGCTGTCAATTAGGACAGTGCTAAGGTCCCATGTCTATATGATATCCACTATAAATATCAAATTGTTTCCTTTTAAACAATATTTTGTTTCAGTTTCTTCAGATTTTGTGGAATTTGTGGAAATGTGTACTTTCAAGCACCATAACTATGAATAAAGCAGAGAAGACTGATATAGTATAGATAGTGCTAACATACTCATTATTTATTGTGTAGGTGCAAGCGGTACTAAGAAGACATTGGAATCAGTATCGTATGCAGTTTGGAAGCAACTTCTCCCACTCAGAAACCCTGAGATCTGCCTCCTACACAGTATCATCAATAACAGATTTCCAGGGCTCCTACAGCAGTGACTGTAATACAGAAAGTTTGAATGGAAAAGGCTGCCATGATGTCAAAGCCACGATTTTGAAATCTGAAAACCTGTATGCCTGAGGGTTGCCTGTGTACTATTGACCACAGCAGTGAGGATTGTTGAAGACCAGAGAATTAATCATTTGTAGATGAGACAGCTATGGAGTATGACCAACCTGAACTTCTCCCATGATACAGCATCTGAATAAAAATAAAAACTCAAAGCTTTTATCTTTTGCTATAGACTGAACTATGGCCTGTTACTTTCTATCATTTTTGTGAACCTGCATGCAATTTTAATCAGGAGCTCCCAAAAGAACTTTTAATTGGAATTTACATGAAATATGTAGTACGGGAAGCTGCTTCACTGCTTTAATCTGGATCGGAGGGAAACATTTTTGTCCCTGTCTTAATGCACAGTACTGAACTAGTCATATCACATAAGGACTGGAGCAGAATGAAGACATGCACAATAAGTCATTCCAAACTGAAAGTATCCTTTTGTTATTTGATCACATTGAATGGTGTGCCAAAAATGTGAGGATATCAACATGAAATGCTTTCTGCCAAACTATGGACTGGTAGTCACAGATTTCCACATGGTCTTCAACACAATGCAATCATAACAATGGACTGTGGCCTGGTAAAGAGAAAAAAACTGAGGAAAGCCTCATGTACCAATGTGGAAAATTTGTTTAATTTTATGGGATTTGTGTTATCACACTTGAATATTCCTGGAAGTCACCTGCATCAGTATTATTTGATTTCATGACACATCCTGATGATTGAGGACACTATGAAGACATCATTGATTGTGGGTTTCTTGGGGGCTTTATATACAGTACAAGATCATATGTTCTAGTGTATACGAATATGTAGTTTACACTTTAATTATAACACTGCATATTTTCATACTAGAATTATGTAAATCATTAAAATTAAAATGTACAATTTTAAAAGGTATAGTTAAAATGCTGTAAATGTGACATCTAAAACTTATATAAGATAATCTTATTCAAGTTTAGTTGCTCACTATACGCAAGAAAGGAAAGCAAATTAAGATGCTAAGCATGGAAAATTCAATGAAAATATGAATAGGTCTTAGTCTGTTTGCTTCTCAATAAAAATACATACTATAATTTAATATCAGAGGAAGGCTAACCTTCTTAGAAGCATATAGCCTGATAAATTCTGTTAACATTTCAGTGTTGATTTAATCAATATTCATGGGTTAATCTGGCTAATGCTAATGAAAATCTCTTTTATATTATCACAATATCTGAAAATGTAATTACCTCATAGGAGAAACAAATATTCTGTCTTAGCCTATATTGTTCTCCCCCTTTTGTCCACTTAGATCTCGGAAACAGCTCATACTGTACTGTATATGTTCTGTTAACATTGTATTAAATTACACAGCTTAAACAATATATAACCTTCTAATGTATATGTTAAAACAATCACCAAATAGCATCCTATGTTTAAATCTAAAATGGGTTGTCAGCATTTTGCATATTTTTGTCTATGGAAATGATAGTTTTGCTGAACTGAGATGTGTTAGTCTAAAAAAGAAGCTGCATTTACCAAGAAAGATCATGACTGCTAAAAACAAAAAAAAAATTAAAAAGTCATATGGCTCCAATTAAATACAGTATATAGTACCACTCTGTGTTACTACACAGTAAAATGTCCTGGCCAAATCCAGAAGAATTGGCTCAATTTCCAATGCATTCTGTTACTGACAAGTTGTCTATTGCTACAAGTAACTTGACACCCAGTGTGAAGATAATACTCCCATTTCATTCTAACACTGCCTTAAAGTTATATCATCTCCCACTGAAAATTAATCTTCTAACATTCCCACAGGGCCATTGCCCCCTCTGCTCTGGCTTTCTTTTTATGTCTGGCACATACTGTATGTATCTTGTTTCTTCATACATTTCAAGTTGTTTCATGTCAAAATGCTGGAAAAGAAAGTGGCTCACATAAATGTTGTAAATATGTTTGTACATCACTAGAAGCAAAGATTGTTTGTGTATCTGTTTATATGTATGTGTGGTTATATATACGTATATGTAAGGATGGATCAGAATGTATTTTTATACTTCTTTAGGATGTATGGAAGTATTTGGAAAATATGGATTTGTTTTATAATGTAATAATACAAACAGATCTCCCCTTTGGCTGCCAGCAAACCTCAAATCTACATTAATCTGGAAATCATTACTAGGCTGATTTTTGGCTGAGATGTTCTGTTGTTTTTGTTCCACAACAGATTCAAATTGAAACAAACTACAAAGGCCTCTTTGTCAATTGAATTAAGTTTCAGTTGGAAAATCCAACAACCAACAAGATTATTTTATTAGGTTGGGGTTTAAATGAAGAGTTTTTTTAGGAAAAAAATACAGAGTAGTAAAAAGGTAGTAATACAGTCATATTATCACTAATAACTTATTTCATCCAGTGGTCTCCTCACTCCAGCTGCCAGTCCAGCAAGAACCCATTATTAATTTTGTACTCCATCTGTATGAGGACTTAAAAGTATTTGATACAAAATATACATTAGGCTATTGAAAGCAATGTTATTTTTAGTATATGTAAATATGTAAAATATTTAAAACTTAAATACATTAGCTACCCATTTAATAAATCTACAAAAAGAAAATATTTTCAGTTCAAGGTTAGCAGATTACATTTATCTGTCAAAGCTTGGCAACAAAATGTATCACTGCAGGACAGTTTCAAATAGCTAAAACTTTATACAGTTGAATGTTTCAAAGGATTTAACACACAATTTGGCTATCTGCTTAACCTTGCCTTTCATTTGAGTGAAGTCTCAAAAATCCTGATTATTTTAACATTTCTGGTTGTTTCTTTGGAAATCGTTGTGTACTGTACTGTATGTATCACTGGGAATCATGTCTCTCTATGGATGAAATCTGCTGTATGAGTGTAAATTATACATCTTTGTATCCATATGTTAACATAAATTTGTGGCAAAATGTGTTTTTCACTAAATGTGGGCATTGTTGCAATGATGTGTGTATGTTATCATATAATTATAGATCATTATAAACAAACTTATTCATCTAATGCAGTCTCTTTCATTATTATGTGAAGTTACTGTATGGTAATGTTGATTCAGTAAGAGGAAAAAAATGTGACAGAACTTATACAATGAAACATTATTTTGTTTAGCAAGACTGATATTGTTCCAGAAACAAATGCATTACTTTGCATTAGAGTGACATTTCTGGAAATATAATTAGAAACAGACTTAAACTAAGGCGAGCCAAGATATGAAAATCAAGGTAAAATTAGTGACTCTTTACTGAAACTCTTTGTAAGTGTTTTCTTGGATGTTTCACATGATAAGATGTATATGACAAAATGCTAAATGAGCTGTATGTTGCATTGTACTGTAGTGACATTTTTTATTTACTTAAATGCTGAGATCAGGGTTTCTAATTTCCTAGGCAACAAATACAGGGAGTTCTCCAATACCACCTTCTACTCAACTTACTCACCGAGGGAACCCCCAACCTTCTTCTGCAAAATTTCCACTTATAGGATCCTTAACAACTCCTTCTTACATATGACTAGGGAGCATTGTCTCTTCCTCAATAACAATAAGTTCACCCGCCTTAAAAAAACCCAAACTTCATCTTGGTTTGTATAAAAAAGAATAAATCTTAACCACCCCCTCATGGGGAAACCACAAATCCCCCCCAGTATTCGTACCATAAAAAGTCATAACCAACTCCGTTTGTGGGGTTAGGGAACTAACCTGTCTCACTCTTCCTTGACTTTAATTTTTTTCACCAGGGTCATATTTTGTATTAGCTGGTTAATCAATCCTGTTTGGCCAGGACACTTACTGTAAGTGTTACCTTACCAGAGCCTTGAAACAGCAACAAATGGGCCTGCCACTACTACTCTAAGCTCTCTGTGGGAAACCTTGCTCCTAACCCAACAGCGCTAAGATGGCTTATCCTTTACCCATTAAGCAAAAGCCTAAGCCTAACAAATAGTGCTAACCCATGGGGGGAGCTAACCATTGCTCCTCCTTCTCTCAATCTACACTTTACAAGGAGTCTACCTCCTCCCTGGAGACTGCTCTTTGGATCTTGCCTAAACTGATCCCAGTTAACCCTACTATCAAGAGCTTTATAACATTTCTTTATAACAATTGCTCTAATCTAAGCCTTGCAAAGTCAGGTGATATTAGTTTCCTACAACTGACCATAATGTTAGGAGTGTTATAAGATGTTCTCTGATGCTCCCTCTTTGATGTGATCTGTTTCCCTCCATACCCCTCTGACTTAACCCTTTCAAAAGAGAACAAACAATGAGCATCAGCTACAGCAGGGTGTTGCTAGTTTACTTGGGTTGCACATGCAATTGTTTGCTTTTAACCCACTTTATGTCTATAATAATCCTACTCAAGCTACTTAACCCTTTCTAAGATTTTCAAGACCCTTCAACGTTCACCTCACAACAACCAATGCTTTGGTTACATCAGGTTAAATCCATAAAAGCAGGGGTACAGTAAAATATTTAAGCAATATGATATATATATCTAAGCATTGGCTGTAATGCCTGAAGTGTTGATGGCAATGCATATACTGTAAGTGAGTGATAAACATATAGTACTTTATCTCCATTACTCCCACAGAGCTCCCCTTTGTGATTTTACTGGCTCTATGCACTTTTTCCTTAGGCACAACAAAGAGGTCATTCTAGTATAGTTTCTCATAGGGATTTTAACCTCTCTATTCTGAGAACAGGTAGTCACAAAAGGAGACTCAATCTGCAAAGAAATATAACTGAAGCAGTATTTTTGTCTCTGGGGTCACAGTTGTCATGGAAACTGCACTTTGTAATAACATCTGTAAAAATAAGGTAAATACTCGGAAGACAATTTGAATCAAAAGGGCAGATTTATTGCAAACAATCCGTTTTTCTGCTCCATGATTGTTTCATAACTTGTGGTATTTTCCCTGAACACTTCTGTAATGTTGAGAAAGCATTACCTTGCCAAAGCAGTAGCTCAAAATTAATGAATACAAGAGAAAAGACTAATTTAATAGCCCTTTTGGAGTTGAAGCAAGAACTGATGAAAGAGTAACCACAGCATAGAGGTTTGATATGGTATACATGGCAAAACAATATGTAACTTCCATTTGACGGGCACAAATGTAAACTTACCAAGACTGCCTAATAAAACACCTATTCCAATCACTACATTAATTTGATACCACCTGTTACTTATCTTAATATTAATTGAATTTGTTTTTTTTGGCTGCAGCTTTCATACTATTTGGAAAACATGCATTGCTTCTTTAAAGAATCAGTAGAACTAATTAGTTGGAAGACATTGACTTCTCTAAGCATCATTATCAGCTTTTTGGTTATTTGGTTATTATTTGGCATGCATCATACTGAAGACTCCTAAGTCCTAATAACGAACAGATGGAGCATATACTTTACGAGTAGATCTTTTGCAACTATATGTCCTCCTCTAATTTGACTCTACACAAATTGCTTGTTGCAGCTGCCATTCTAAAATGAATAAACATCCTTCCTCTTCTTAATCCTGAGTTTTGCCTTACTGGTATAGAGCAAATAAAAACCAAAGGATTGTAGAATGTACCATAAGGTTAAATCTGATATTTTTCAGTTACTGGCACTCTACTTGGGCAGGTCCTTGTGATAGTATCCACACTATTGATTTTTGTAGCCACAGGTTTAAATCCAGTTTTTGTTAAAAGTAAAAAGAATCTGGACATGCTTGTTTGGTGAAAGTCCATGAGTAAACAGCCAGGGAGTACTCAAGTTTAGATAAAGGATTCCTTGCCAACATGCGAAAGAAATTTCTTATCTATTTCTATCCACTGTATTTGCAGGAACTTTTCACTTTAGAAAAGTTAGAACTGTACTGTATATATTCCTTCATGATCTCCACAAAACAAAGAAATGAAGAACTACTCCCAAAGAAATTGTATATACACAATGAAAAGCAGATTATATTAGATTGTTTTTGTGTAATTATTCATTTAATTGTGACCAAAACAAGTTTTAGATCATAGATATTAATAAAAGAAACTGAAAAAATGTAGACTCACAATTCAACAGATATGCACCTAATTAAAATAACCCTAACCCTAATTAAAATAACTCTCAACACTGCAGTGATAACAGTGGTAAGACTATTATTAAAATATTCAAATTAAGCCAACTGACCAACAGAATTATATAAGCCCTGTGATAGAGTCACCACGCAACCACAAACTCGCCGCCACATTCCAACGTGCATTGTTCACCGCAATTAATTTATTATCCAACCACTTTCCTCCCTACTTAAGCCTTTCAACCGCATCTCTCCATGCTCACTATTGAGCTGTACTCTTCTCGTCGCTAGTTTTCTCAGCACTTGTCAACCTCTAGGATAATGGATCTTTGCCCAGAATACTGAGCCTCTGTCATGGCACAAGTAGATAGAAATTAGGACTCTTTGCAGAGTTGGAGTAAGGGGTCGAAGAGAGGGAGTATCCCGTAACCAAAATCCGAATTGTAAGGCAGGTCCATAGTCAGAAGGAGGGCAAAGGTTCATTATCCTAGAGGTTGAGAAATGCTGAGAAAACTAGCAATGAGAAGAGTAGAGCTCTGCGAGTAAACTTCAATTGTGAGCATGGAGAGGTGTGTTTGAAAGGCTTAAGTAGGGAGAAAAGAGGAAAGTGGTTGGATAATAGATTAATTACAGAGAGCAGTGCACATTGGAATGTGGTAGCGAGTGCATGGTTGCGTGGTGACTCTGACACCCCGTTTGTCTGCAAAAATACTATTTCAAAACAAAAGAATACAGAACTGCAAATTTCTTTGTATACTGTATGTACTGGTAGAAAAACTTAAGGGCCCCACTAACAGATAACCCATTTGACAGTAGTGCAACTGCAAACAAAGAATCTGATCAAGAAATAATTGAAATGTGTCTGTGATTATTGAAAAACATAAAAAGCGTGTGCTTTTAAAGTATTTTGTCTTGTACCATCAAATTTAAAAAAAATGTGTCCAATAAAATTACTGTTTTATAAAAGCATGAAGCTTTCTGAAAACTGCTGTTAAAGAACACAGTTGTGTGATCAGCAGAAGCAACACTATAAAATATCTAAAAAAACATAAATCAGTGAAATCATACTGTAAATCATTGTTCAGAAAAGGGAAAGGAATGGAGTCTTAATTTAGAAATGTTGCATCTGTTATAATATACTGTACATTGGGAAACATAAATGTATTGTTTGATAATAATATGGTATATTATAAACCCATGTGAGAATTTCCAATTCAACAAGTACAGTTTACATACCATTACAAGGTTATGGATATTTAATGTCGTAGAAGAGACTGTTATCTCTTTTGTATTTTAGAATTAGGGATAGTTGCAATGAATAGGATGGTGACAGGGTAATACTGTAAGCTTGTTACAGTGAATAAATTCCCCTGGTTTGTTATGGTAAAATAGCTCATGCCAATTCAGTGGCCTTTTGGTATACTAGATTATGTGCTTGATTGAACTGTGTGGATCAGGTATTTGGAGGTACTGTATTCAAATTCAGGATACAACTGTATGAAGCATGCTAAATACAACATTAGAAAACCTATGACTGAGAGGAATGACTGGGGATTCAGTCCATTTTTATTGTTTCATTTAGTACATTAATCATTCAAGAATTCAAACAAGTTGTGTCTTAATATTTCGCTAAACGTCCTTTTCTACTGCATGATAAGGGAAATGGTTGTAAACTCCCACAACCATCTGTGTAAAGAAGTATGTCTTTTTTCTGCTCTTCATCCACCTATATTGTAAAATCTTTTATTGTTGATATTGAAGGAATTTCCTGGGTTGTTATGGTCAATACTTCTCAGGATTAAGAACATCTAAATCAAGCCTCCATGCTAACTTGTCTTCCCAGGTTAATAAGATTTGGTTACCTCAATCTCTTGAACATGACATCTCTTCAGACTAGAAATCAATCTGATTGCTATCATCTTGCCAGAATCCATCTTAAAGCATACACATTGAACAAAGTAGA